AATGATAGTCCCGACTCGAATTTTTTCTCGAGTCGGGTCAAATGACCCGGGTCGATTCGACCGGCTCGGAGCACTACTTCTAATACTCACTAATACTAGAAAGCTCTGAAATTACTTGATAAATATCTGGTCGTTCATCTGGATCATGCTTCCAACATTCTAAAATAAAATAAATTAAGATTAGATTATGATAATAGAATAATTCCAAAAGATGAATACGATAATTATATACATATGTTGATAAAGCTTAACGAAATTACCATTTGTATTTCGAATAGGAGCTTCTCTTATACTTTCAAAAATGAGTGAACGAATAAAATCACAATTGAAAGTATTTTCAACATTAAAAGACGATGAACAACTCGTTAATTCCCAGAATAATGCTCCTAAGTTATATCAGATTTGTTGTGAAGGATTTTCAAAAATTTTAGGATCCACATAAAGTATTACACCAAATGTTTTTTTAGGACGGAAATCATACGTTGATGTTATTGGAATGCTAATATAACCAATAAAAATAAAAAAATAATCATTAATAATATATACAATTAACAATATGAAATAATAATTAAATAACTTACGAGATCTTGTTGTAAACGTTTTCATTATCATGTAACCACATGATCGCACTTGCAATTTCAGTAGCGAATTTCAATTGACTTTCCCATTTAAAAGTCGACGGTGTTGTTCTATCAATGATAATTCGTAAGTTGTTATAAGGTACATTACCACAACTGACCTCAGTCGCGTAGAGGTCTGAGCCACGTCTTTATTAAAATCATCATCACTTCCACGCAAACAATTATTTCTCCTAATTTTACGAAATTCGGAGGCCCTCAAACGTATTTTTTCAGGACGCCATGTTATGAGATGAGTTATCCTTAAAATAGATGTATTGATTATATTGTTTGCTTAATAAGTTATGTCATCTTAGGCCAAAATGACCACTGACCACGGGACAAATTTACCACTGTCCAAAACGATCTCTAGTCAACTTGTCCTCTGGGCGAGTTGTCTTTTCGAAATAATGTATAAAAAGCGGATTGATTCATGGGTTAGGAGAGACAGATTTACTTCAATGATACATTTTTAATTATATAGAAATTCCCCGGAATTCCCTTTAGAGGGACATTCATGCAGATCGGTACGATCCTCCAAATTTGTACTGGTTCTATAATATTATTGAGACCACAATTTGGATAAAGTACCGTACCGGTTTTCTATATACTATGTTAATGATCTCAATGATATTATTAATAGTGATTGATTTTGCATTCGTCAAAGTGTTCTTAACAAAATAAAATCAGTTACAAAATATGATCGTACTGGTCTCAATAATATTATGGTACTATTATAACTATTATAATTTGAAAATTCGTACTGATCTGTAAAATCGTACTAACGATTCGTACACTCCAAAATAACGTGACTTGACATTAAAGCGCAACTAGCGAATCACTTTGGCATTTATATTTATTAATATAACCTTTATTTCTCGATTTCCTTTTTTCACCCTCACGTTCATTCTAGTAAAATGGTAAGTTACCATACAATGATTTTGTCATTTTTCAAATAATGGGTCAATGCAATAATTATTACTTGCTTTTTGCTATCTCCGCGTTTAGTTTAAATCTCTACCGATTCTTTATGATGTCAAATTCTATGTTTCTTCAAAAATTAAAGAACAATTATATAGTTACAAATTATTATGTCCTCATCAAGTGAATAACTGGCATGTTTTTGCCGCGAATTTAATTGGGAGAATTGTAAACACTATCTCGAATTTCCCAAGAATATATTATTTATTGATAAAAACATTATCCCTGCCCTGTTTCCACATTTTACGATAAAATAGGTATTCATAAAAATAATTTTAGGGCATTTTAAAAAATTTTTATATTTTTCATTTAATTTTGTTATGAGATCTCATGCTTTTCATCACTTGAATTGTATGGCGCAGTATCTATATTATTAGTTATGTGACATCGAAAATTAAAATTTTTTATTCGACCGGCCTTGCATAAAGAACCTATAACGTTCTTTATGACTCTTTTACAGAAAAAATTCAAAGAATACGACTTATTTCGATCACATTTACATCGTAAGTTCGGTTACAATTAAAGATTGTTAATGATTCCATATTTTAAAAAAAATTTTCGTGTAAAAAAATTGATTTTATTATTTACAAAGGTTCAATTACAAAAGTATATACTCAAGGGGATGTTAACAAAATAAAGTTATACATATATAAAATACTGAGATAAATATACGAGAAATTTATTTGTAAAGTTTCAGTGATCGAAAATTAAAATAAACGAAAATCTAAAATAATAGAGATTAATTTTTGTAAAGCGCGTTCGTAATTTTAACGAAGTCGCGCATAAATATTTGAATTTAGGATGGTTCTTCATGGATCTCTTAAAAAGTTTTCTTTAGGTGGAGCTTTCTCTTCATCAGATGGAGGTTGTTCATCATCGTCTCCTTTGAAAAGTTTCTCTACATAATTAGAAATAAAAAAGAATGTAAATTTTTATAAAAAAAAAAAAATTTTTTTTTTATAAACTTACTAATTTTTTCGGTAAATTCGTGAGATTTATTCTCATTTTCGGATCTTATGGTAAAGCAGTATTGATGACAGCTGATAATAACACCAAGGCACTGATTATTAAGATGATTACTCTGATATTTCCTTTCATTATTATTTGACTTTTTTTATAGAAATTTTTGAAAAGAAATTATTTAGATATTTATACGTTTTTGTTGATATGTGGACAAAGCCCATTAAATTTCGATCAAAGCGTTGTCCCATTAAATAATACTCTCCATAACTGAGATAAGACAGGTTTCTTAATCCATATTTGTCCGAAAAACAAAGCCATGTCCTCACAATTTTGTAGATAACTGCTCCCGTTCTCCCGGATTCAACGATAATAATTAACCCGAAATTGCTCACAAATCTCGTGTCGATTTTCTCTAAAAAATAAATAAAACAATGGGCTTATATTTTTAATTTTTAATAAGCCATATCAAATTTTTCCCGATTGGACTAATTGTACAAATGATCAAAATTTATTTTTTATTTTGAAATTTTTTTTTGAATTGAAGATGGCTATTGAATTACTATTATTACTATTATTAGCTAAATATGGGTGGGTTTGAAATCCCGAAGAACATCCCGAAGTCATAATCCCGATGAGCATAATCCCGAATATTATTGTTATTGCGCCCCTTTGTATATGCAGATATTTAAGAAATATTAAAAGTATTAAGTACATTTAAGAGAAGTTTCTTTTGAGTATTTTTTATTTATAATTTAGCAAATAAATATTTTCCAACCATCGATAAAAATGGATGAAAATTGTTAAATCATACAATGCATTATCCTATCGAAAAAAGTTTAAAAATCATTAATAAAATTTAATAATTATTGTCTTGCGATACAAATTGAAGATTGCAATTAGCAAACTATTATTATATTATAATTTTAAAATTAAGTTCGAAATTATGATCATTCAGGATTATGGTCAGGACTTCGAGATTATGACCCTTCGGGATCGTGATCTTCGGGATTTTGAACGGCTCCCGCTAAATAAAGTAGCTGTAAAATATGAGATCGTTTTAAAACAGTGGTGGCGTTACGCTTACGAGGATGCATTTCTTATGGCTTACAAATTTTATTTACATCCATTATAGTTTACACAAATTTATCGGAAAAAGTTATCGGGCTGATTAGATTAACGAATACTTTAATTTTCGCGAGATTCCAAACTGATTGAACTTCAAAAAAATAAGAAATCAAAATATTTCTCTAAAATGTTGTGTTTCTATCAATAAAATTACTTTACAACTAACTATTTATCATAATATGAAATGCTAAATAGTTTTAATACGAAAATTCAGTAACCAGATAATTTTTTGCGTAACAACTTGAATACATACATTGTTGAAATGATTTGTTCTTTTGTTTAATCAAGGAATTTGTTCCTACCAACAAATATTCTTGGACCTTTTCCCACAGAGAGCCATCAAGTCCATTATTTGTAATATCTCTCGCCAATGAATCCAACTTGAACCGTTTAAATATTTCATAAGATTCATCCCACATTGTACATATGAGGCCTTTGCAATAGAAAGGGGGAAACTGCCGGGAAAAATTAATTTTACTTTATATACCAAATATGATTTTTATGCTGAAATATGTTCAAATTTAGCATTAACTCACT